TCCGGAGCTGGGCCCGTCCAGAGGACAGGCCAACCAGCCCCCCCCCCCCCCCCCGGTCCCAATCACTCACCGCACCCGGCTACGGGCGTGCTCTTACGGAGGTTCCCGCATGGGATAAAGCTGCCCGCCTAACCCGGGACAGTCGGTTGAGACTTGAGGTGTGGAGGAGAAGGATTTGAATGTTCTGAGCCAGGAAAGAAACGACGGAATAATGATACATGAATATTCGGACAGAAGCGTCGCGACATCTGTATTGGTCAGATTACCTACAGGGTGATTTTTTTTTAACTGTTAAAAAGTAAACGTCAATGGTGGTCCCTAAATCGAAAAATCGCGTGCAAAAAAGCAATGCACGTGATAGATAAATCTGGGACATTTTGTATGGTGTCATCCTTTGTCCCTTTTCACCGACGGCCTCGGCCCCAATGGGGCCTGAAAATGTCCCACCAATCGGGCACGCACGTCCACTGCCGTTCAGTAAGGAACGGCACAAAACGATGATTTTGAAGCATTGAGGCAGTTCGAAGCATACGATGATCAAGGAGATACCTCAGAAAGACGTTAAATAATGCACGAACAAGCTTGTAGTCATAAATAACCTTCAAACGGTCTATCTGGCGTAAGTGCAGACTCTGAAGAATCAGTCTTCAAGGAGAAAGAAAAACAGCGAATCAGACACCACCAGGGCCGTCAGTATCAAAAAAAAAAGTTTTTGGACCCATCTATGGCAGATATAACGAGAAAACAGTGGAAATATCTGGCAGAGCTGAAAATGGGCAATAGGAGCCTTTTCAGTCCGCCTAATGAGTACCTATGGGAGTCCATGGTGCTGTTTAACACGTGCTCAGGCGGGCTGATTCGTGTCGGTGAGAGAGGGGGTAACTTCAAGCACAAGTAAAATACACGATGGACGTTCCTTCACATCGTGTCTGCATGAAATCAAAATGTCCCAGAATGCTCGTTATCCTGGTATATAATTTTGCAACATACCTACCTATATTTGCATTTTAACGCCACTAGACCTCATTACTTTTTAACAAGTAAAAAAAAAATCACCCTGTACAACTGACCATTGGCAGCAGGCACCCATCGCATCGGTCAGGTTAGGGCGTTAGGCCAATAAATACCTACCACGCGCAGTTTACCTGCTGGAGTTCACAAGGGCGATCCATATGGGACCCGCATGGGATGCCCATCTCAATCTGTAGCCCATATGCACTGGCCCGCCTGGCCCATTTTTATTCTCCCTGGGTAGCCAATGTGACAATGTCCCATGTGGGCCAATCTGGATCTGGCCCATGTTCACCCGGTTCACCCGATATGGGAGTCATGGGACCCACTTGCTTGGGCAACGGGTATGTTTGCTGGGTACGGAGCTGAGAGCCATCTATCGGTGAATTGAAAGAAATATGGCCCTGATCTAGGTGGCAGCACTTTATGGCTCATCACCGTATATTCGTTTACATCGGCTAGCGGCCTTGACATTTTACGAGTTTAGTGTTTACATCTGAGGCGCCTGCGGTGAATCATTGGATGTGAATTTGTGGTCAGGAGCTGTGGTGGAACACTAACTCAGTCCCACGCACAAGGGGGAAAAGCTCAAAAAATTGAGCGCTCAAAAAATTGAGCGGGCCCCATTATGAAGGAATAGGCGAAACGATGGTATTTTAAAATGCCTTTAGCGTCACACTACGGCAAATATCGTATCCAAATAAGGTATCAATGGCAAGAGAGAGCAACAAGGTTTCTTCTCGAACACCCGCCGTGATAATTTATATCGGTGTTTTTGGAAAGAAAATGCCCTAAAGACGCTCAACTTTTTGAGCGCCACTTGTCGTTCGGGACCGCGATACTCAATAAATTGAGCGCCACGACAGACGACAGTCAGCTGGCGCTCAAAAAATTGAGTGCCGGCCAGCATCTACACTCAATTTTTTGAGCGTTCTCCGTGACAGGTGAAGCCGGTACTGGCTGCCATTTTTGATGTTATGTTCGTTGAAATACGTTAAACTGAGTTGAAACAGAAATGCAGGAAGTTGAATGCTACGTGGTACCTAAACTTTTCACAAACCCATGGCATCATGTCACATTTTCCGCTAGTAGTTTTATCGGTCGTCTTTCGGATTCGGCACACCTCAAATAATTATACAGGGCTTGAATAATCCGTATGAATACTGTATTAATTTCTCTGATTGTACTGGGAGAAGGGAATACGTGAATACAGAAAGATATCCACCCACGCTTGAATATTGGTGAATTATAGCAGAAAAAACTGTATTGCCACGGTTACAACTTACAAGGCCATCGGCCGCAAACAAACAAAAATACTATACAATGTGGGTTAGATTCACAAACATCAAGTGTGGAACACAGAGACGAGCAAAACAACATCACATTATCGCATGCCAGCCCGACCACATTGGAACCGGGTGACCTGCGACCGGAACCTGCGTCTTGCCAGCATACATCACAGGAGGCAGTGTCGTACTGCTTTGATCCAAAATATGTCATATAACAAATGTCGATATAAACGACCTAAGCTCGGACTAAGCTAATCATTATCAAATCCTTAACATGTAAAGGACGAATGGAAACATCGAGTCTCAGACCAGCAGTAGCAACCATCACAGTAGCAACATCACAAAGAACACGCGGCATTATCAGACAGCCGTTTTGTTATCGGGCTACAGGCGGCGACGGCGTGGTTGCAGACCAGCTGCGAGGTAGCGGCGTGCGGGCAAAAGGCGCGGGCACACCTCCATGTGGCCGTGCGGACAGTGCGCGGTCGGCGTCGCATAGTGGGCGGCATCGGGCTGTCCCGGGGCCGTCGAAGCCGCACAGGTTGTCGGCGCATGTGGGCGCGCGCGGTCACCACGGCCAGCTGCTCACCGCCAGCACAGACTGCGCAGCGTCGCCGCTCCGCCGGCCAGAACACGCAGACAACCCTTCTTGCAGTCGCACAACACGTCGCCAAACTCATTCACCTGCTCCACCATGTTGTTGATGTCACCGAGTCGTTCAAGTTGTGGCTCGTGCCGTCGAGCATGACCTGCCCGATCGGACACGGGTCAGCGGCTTCTGCTCCAGCGAAGTCTTCATCTTGGTGACGTCTTGCTGATCTCCACAAAGGCTGAGCAGATGACCTTACCCACAGGGACGGCTGACGTCCTCGCCAGCGACCGCTTGGTTGTGCAGACCTGCCAGAAAAAGAAAAGCTGTTTGGTGATCTCAAACAATTTTTTCTTTATGCAGTGGAACAAAATGGAAAATATGTCATACAACAGGAACTAAAAAAAGATGCAGCCTAGGTCGTCTAAGAAATGGGTGCAACATTGATAAAATTCTTCATTGAATGAATTCTGCAAATGCTTTTGATAAAATGTGTGGTGATTATAAGGAGACCACTTTACTATAAAATTGCTCAGGATTCCTTATCTATCTGGACCTGTAAAAATCATGACTGCACACCAACAATGAGCATTAAATCCGAAACCTCTACCAGGTACCTAGGGATAATTAAATTCTGATTCAGGAAAATATTTCACATCATACAAATAAAAACCTTTACTATATTGAAACTGAAAATGTGATGCCGATCCAGTGACCTAAGGATCTCAAAGTATAATAATGAATTAATCTATTATAAATTTGGTGGTGACTGTCGACTGGCGTCTGGCGGCCTAGACCTTGAGGCTTGAAAGTGGCCTTCCTTTTCCGTTGACTCCGATCCTCCAGATGGAAATGATATAAAGGATCATTTTTATCTTATTTCATATGAGCCAGTCAGCAAAGTGGCTATCCTGTTTCAGCATTCACACACACAATAGTTGACTGTCAGTCTGTCATGCTGTCAGTGTTGTGAAGTAACGAAGGAGTTGAGTTTTGTTGATTATAAATTGTGATGTTATGTAAAGGACTGGAAAATGAATGTGAAAACTATGGAAACATATTGGCAGAGTATTGTCACTTACTATCAGGACATATAGATAGAGAATACATTCAAATTAATAAGAAATGCCAAATATCAAGGTACTCAATCACTGATAGGAGTGGACTATCATATGTTTTAATGTCAATTATATGAAAGTTAAGACTGAAACTACCTTTTACCTCATCATACCTAATGAAAAATTGTGTGAAGAAAACATTCACAGCCTCTTTGAAGCACTTAGACCACTAAAAAACAAAAATTTCACGTAAATATGTTGTGTCTCCTTCCTTCAAAACATCATATCGGATGGCGCCACTTTCGTCGACAGTTACTTATCTGCACGCAAATCGAGGAAAACGTGAATTGATTGACGTTTACGTGTTTCCAAATTTAAAATCACAGCATATTCAAACTTTTCAGTGTACCTTTTAACATCTAAATATAACTAAAACGATAAAAACTTACCTTCAACACGAGGACGACGACAACCACGCGACCGGAGGTGTCGCGACGAAATAAACAAACGGCGCCGCCAAATGAAAAATATTCTCCGATATGAGTAATGTGAAATTGAGTCGCAATCATTTTGGGTAGTATGAAAAATGCTCTTTCCAACAGAACCCTAGTAAAAAACGTGAATGGACAAAAAATAACTTTTATTTCGACATAAATATTGGCCTGTTTTTAAGTCATCCTGGTATGCCGTAAGATTTCGACCTATAAATTGGTGTTCCCCCAATCATTGAAGCTAGAGCAGTGAAAAATATGAAAGCCTTATCTGTTTTACATCATTAGTGATTCTCCTAGGGTGTTGCCATTTCTCCCTAGGTGTTGCGAGTTGCTTTTGCAAAACGTGTTCCTGAAACGGCTCAATTTTTTGAGCCCTCAGCATTACGCCTATGGGAGCCTCTGACGTCACACGCTCAATATTTTGAGCGCTCAATAATTTGAGCTTTTCCCCCTTGTGCGTGGGACTGAACTAAAAGCTAGGGGCAGAGGCGGCGTTATCTGAATCGTGTAAAATAGTTTGTCGAAGTTGTGTTGTATGGCTGTTGTTGTAAGTGTTGCAAGGAACGGTGCCTCTGCGCCTCAAGTGTCATAGCTGCACCATAATTGGCAATCTTACCTAATTTAATTAATAAGTCACAATTAAACCTGGCTGTAATCATAAAATACCAATTTTGGTTATTTTAGCTGAATTTTTTTCACATTTGCAGCTTTCAGCAGGGTGTTTAGTTTTGAGCGTTTTGAGGAGGTGCATGTAACAGCAGACACGTTTACACCTTACATAGGGTTTGTTGCAAGCTTATATCTTCGTCCGTGATGTTGCAAAAGATGTCAATACTGCTTAAAAATTTACCAAATGATCCCCTATGAATATTTGAAGACCACTGCATCCAATTATTGCCAAATAAACGAGCTAGAGCCTCGTCAAAAATGTTATGTAAACGTGACTGGTAAGGGGTGGTTCAAGGGTGTTTGTAAATGTACCCCCCTCTAAACTACCAAAAGTTTCAAATTTGATAAAGTTCAGATAAAATAACCCAACATGGTATTATTTGAGGAAGGTCAGGCTTTGGTTGAGTTGTGATTTCAATTTATAAAGACAAAAAAATGAAAGATTGCATGCTATTGATGCAACTTGCAAGTCACTTTATAGGTAGGTAGGTACCTACCTACCTATCAATTGCTATTTTATCCTGCATCCTGGCTGAGGAAATCACTTACTTTTGATTTTGAAGGATAATTGAGCTCTCATTGACATCCTGGTTTGGCATTTGAATGGTAGAGTAATGGTTCTGACTAGTGCAGGGCCAGGGGTGGAGAATTAGAGGTTTGGGGGGGGGGGGGTGCTCAAGCACCTCTGAAATTCAAAAGTTGTCTTATAATAGTGCTCCAGGGATGCTTAAATTAGGTCTGAGATAAACTGCTTGGCTAAATTCACGAGGAGAGTGATGCTGCTGGGAAAACATACATATATGTGCTTTTCTATGTAAGAATTTGTTGCTTCCATTCACCAGGTGCTAGAAAAGCACCTTTAGGGATTATGACAACTCTCTGCCCCTGGACTAGTGACTCAGTCACTCAAAGTACCTTATTCAAATCATTTTATTTTTATTTTCATAATTTTTCCTAAGCGTTTCATGAGTTCAACCTAACTTGGTACCTTTCCATATCATTTTTATTGTAAAGTCATAGTTGACAGTTGCAGAAATTTGCAGGTGACACAAGTAGAACTGGCCATTTAAAACTATTAGCACACACCTTTCTAAACAATTTCAGAAGTTACATTTGAAACAATTTGGAAAGCATTGCTCTTCGAATACATTTTTTTTTTTAAATAAATGTAGTGCGAACCTTTTGATAGGAAGGATTCACAGGAACAGAGCAACCGCTAAGCGAGGCTTGTCGCGGCGACCCTGCCCTCTACCCTCCGATCGCGCAATTCCGGTTCTATGGCAGAATTTAGAGCCCAAAGTTTAACGTGCGCAGCGCACATTGCCCGCACGGCCGGTCCCCTCACTGACTTCGCCTGGCTACGGCCTGCCACCAACCGCAACAATACCTGTCAGGAGGCCCATAAATGTCTAGCGTCCGTCGCGCTTCGAACTCGGACTGCTATAACCGGGAACGCGTGTTCTCACCACGTGGAGTCCAACGCTCTACCAATTGAGCTACGGGACCGGCTCATCCCTATATATGGCCTTGGGCTCATCCAGTGAATAAAGTTGGGAGTTGGGAGTCAGCAATGGTCATCACTTCCCATTTTTATATTGGGATTTGGGAGATACAGCAATGTTCATCATTTCCCATTGTATACATATATACTAAAATGTTATTTTTTCTATGTATTGCGTCTCGTCCGCAGTAGTGACACATAATGACTTTTTAGTTTCGATCTGAACTACTTACTCAGTCCCTACCCCACTCATTCAGTCTCATTCGTCACAGGTTTGGACGTGGAACCACCAAGATGGCTTGCCTGAACCGGTGCTGCTGCTGCGTTCCTCTCCGGAGCGGTGCGCTCACAATCGCCATCCTCTACCTCGTCGTCAACGTCGGCGTGCTATTTGGATGGGCTTGCTGGTTTTTTGCTGAAGTGGGCATGTACAATGCCACTCCTGTTGAAGACGACGATTACAGACACTATCGTTTCCGGAACATCAGGTTCTTGGGCTTTATACTGGGCGTATTGTGTTTGACGTGCGGTATCAACATCACAATGGACAGTCTCCTGGTGCACGGCATCCGCAGGAACCAGCGCAAGTTCATGCTGCCCTGGGTGGTGTGGTACGGCATCTTCACGTCGCTGGTCACGCTCTCCCTGCTGGGCACCGAACTCTATCTGCTCGTCGATTATGTGGATGCGGCGAAAAATCCATACGACGGCATTGGCATCCTGATGGCCTTCCTGGTCATGATTGGCAGCGTGGCGGCGATCAGCCTGCCGGTGATGTGGTACTGGTATGCGTGCGTGCTGTCCTACTACGTCGTGCTGGCGCCCAGCGATGTGTACGTTATGGAGGCGCTGCGGGAGACGACTGGCCCGGAGGGAGCGCGTCTCGCCCGCCGACCCTTGGAGGACACCAAATAGTCGGTGGGCACTGCTTGGTGCCGTGCATTTATATGGGCCAAAGCCGGGGGGGGGGAGTAGGGTGCAACACAGGGGACGGGCTGGGCGAAAAGGGCAAGCGACTGTGAGTGGCGGTGTGTGCAATGAACAATTGTGCTTTCAAAGCTTGGCTTGGAAAATGTTTTACGCTTTGCTATACTTTTACCCATAGGTGGTTTGAACATATCCAGCGGGCCAAGTGCTAACCGGAACTCTCACGCTGTTTCAAGGGGCCAGGCAGCGGCAATGCCACGTGTGCTGCCCTGCAATTGAACAAAAATGTCTAAATGTCTAGAGGCAAGAATGTCTAGAAAATGTCTAGAGGCAAGAAACTTACCCATGGACCAGGATGCTCTCCTACTGTTACCGAATATGCACGAGTATTTTTTGTGTTTTTGCTCTCCAGTCGAGGGTCTAACCAGTTCATTCATGCCATCCTCCAGATGCCTTTCGTTTCGTTTCTCGCATCGTAATGCGATGCGAGAATCTCGTTGATGATAATAAGATTAAGAAATTCGCATGCCGTGATCTGATAGCGTTGGTGGGGAGACCGGGCATGTGTTGCACAATGTATAACGTCTAAATCGCTCATTTCTTCGGTGCTCAACGATCGGACAAAGACAGTGGCATATTGCTCATCGTGTGTGACTGGACGTACAATTTGCTGGCTGTTCTAGCCAAGCGGTCTGGGAGGAGGTAGGAGAAGCAATGTTGAGATTTCTTAGAGTTTAGAGTTAATATTTACTGTGACGCTGCCAGCTGCCGATTGTGTCCTAAAAATATTTTTATGTCCGTATTTAAGCGTTACACAATGAAAGGTCCACGTGGATACTCGACAGACCGACTGTTAACAAATGTGTATCGTTTATGTGCGATTGAAGTCGAGAACATGTGGTATGGTGCCTTCGCGTGCGTCATGGGCATGGAGGTAGTGCTTTGCTTTGCTATAGCCCATTCATTGATAGCAATAAAATACATTGAGCAGGAAAAATCACTCATTGTTTTTGGCCGTGCGGCATGTCCTGAGCAAGGGATCAGTGTGCTTGGAAAAACAAATAGGGAGGCTGCCGTTATTCAAATGATCTGCAATTAATCGCTGCACCATCATCACCATCATATATATTTTTGCGGCACATGGGGAGTTAGTAAGAACAAGAATACAAACTGCAAACGAGATGCAGCATTTGGCTCCTAAGGATCTTAGGTCAAAAAGCCTGATTCCCTTGTACAGGGACCCAGGACTACAAAATACTAGTGCGATGGTTGCTTAAAACTTAGGTACCTATAACCTAAGGACGGTACCGATGTAGGTATTGTGATGTTTCAGGTGGGATGTTTTTCTGTTAATATGCTCCCAGGCCCCAGAATGATGAGCGCATTTCATACCAGGTGAACGCGTTCACTGGTCCGTCGTAATAAGTGCCCTCTTACTTCTCTTCCTGGAACCATGAACGAGTCTACTGACGACAATCCCCACTGAAAGAGCTTGTAACAGCTTAACCCGCGCACCGACGGGGGTCTGCGCCAACTTCGCACCGACGGGGGGGGGGGGCGGATGACCGCCCCCCCCCCCTGAGATCTCGAGAACGAAGCAAGATAGCGACAAGCGGTAAACGGCATCGGATACGCACGGTCAAGATCTACAATTTTTACCAAGGTCATTTTCAGGTCAGGTCAAAGATGACGTCACAGGGGTCGAAAAAGTCAAAATGGCGGCGCTAGATATGGAGAGTTTTTTTCTCGAATAACTTTCGAATTAGTCAAGATAGGAACAAACTAAGGGCATCATCGTAATCCTCTCGTCAATCCGCATCGAATGATATATACGTTGACCTCGAAAGGTCAAGGTCAAAGGTTGACCTCAGGTCACGTGACCTCGAGGTCATCATGTATATCATTCGATGCGTCTTGACGAGCTGAACACAATGAGACCATCCACGCGTCTGTATCTTATTCCTGTACGGAGTTATTGGCCAAAAACCTTTGGTGACCTTTGATGACGTCACATGACCTCACAGCTGCCCAACAGCAAAACAGACCTCAAGGTAGTGAAGGTTGATCGTATATGAAGTCATGTATGGTATATGGGGCCATTCCGACCCGTTTTAGTGGTGAAAACAGAGAGTTGATTTTTCCCCCATTGACTTATAATGGGGAGGTCGCGAAATTGACCTGACCTTAGGTCACCGATATCAAAATTCCGAGATATACAAATTGTAGCTACTAATGACCTAATAACATCCTGCGACTTTCAAAGGCCTCCGACATCTACTGTAGCTCTGGCACGGTGACAAAGTTGCAAAAAAGTGACTTGAGGTTGGGTCATTTAAAGTGACCTGGTGACCTGACCTTGAAAGGTAGGAGGTTCAAACTTGCACACCATGTGTAAAATTGATGAGGGAATAGTCATACCAAATTTCGCGGCGCTAAGCGCCGCGGTTTTCCCGCTATTCGCGAAAAACCTCAGGGGGGCGGATATCCGCCCCCCCCCCCCCCCGTCGGTGCGCGGGTTAATAAGATCGATGGCATTGGTAAGATCTCCATGTAACTATTTGCTAGCTGGGAGTTGAGAAAAATATTTGCCATATTAGTTTTAACATTGGTCCTGACAGACATGACTAACAAATTTCGGACTCCATACAATTACAGACCAACTGACCTGTCACAAACGCCGTGTGGCGGTAGCCGCAACTGAGACTGACGATTTCCTCGTCAGATGGCACTGGCGTCGGCAGGCAGGCCCCGGGCGCGTCGCCGAGCCCGCACTGGCCGTCCTCGTTACTGCCCCAGGCAAACAGCTGACCGTGGGCTGTCAGCAGGGCAGGGGTCAGCGAACAGGGGGGGGGGGGGGCGGAGGAGCGAGGGTCAGCGGGTGGGGACGAGGTCAGCGGTCGGTCACGGGCGATGAAGTCGGAAGAACATAACCAACACGACTGCCAAGGGTTCAATGCGTTCTGTTATCACCGCCGCTAAAACATTTGGCCAATAATTATGGGCTGTGTGTGTGTGTGGGGGGGGGGGGGTGATGAGCGACACGTGTTGCACTGAGCATTGAGCAGCTTTCAGGAGTAGGTCAACTCACTGACAAGTCAGTAGAACCATAATATTGATGTCGATGCCGGGCATTATACCTAGACCTCGCTTCCAACTGGAGGGCATGGACGACAATGGAGAGCTCTCACCGAACAGAGGTAGGTAGGTACCGAACGGCTGTCTGGGGTTCTTTGGTGATGGGTAGAAGGGATGGCTGTCACACCGAGCCTTAGGCAAACGGAAGCTCTCCCACATTCAAAGTTTCAAAAAATTAATTTTATGTAGGGAAGGTACCTACCAACCGTTCCAAACTAAATCGCGTTAGTGCACAACAATGCCGACTTTTTCATTAGAAGCGGTTAAACAGCTACTTTGTTGATTTATTTTTCAACAAAATAAACCAAGGCCCCTCTGAACTGAACGTTGGCCGTTCTGAGCTGTGCAATATCGACCTTTTCTAGATCGGCGCCCTCAGCTGTCGGTGAACCGTACAGGGACTAAAGGTCACTTCCGGGCCGCGACTGAGCTGGCTGAGTGGACACGGGAGACGCTGTGTAGGCGAAAGCGGCACAGTGGGCGTGGAGTCCACCGACGCGGTCAGTCGTCGCACTTTGAGAGCAATGACCACAGGGGTTAGCTGCGGGGTCCGGGGAGGGGGAGGTGCGCAACGTGAACGGTCCCGGTCGGGCTAACTGGTGTGATCTGCGCCCTGAGGATCAGTGAGCGTAAAATGGTCGGTTTTCGGAAAATTTGAGCTTACTTCATAGTTCGTATATTATAAACGTAGGGGAAGGAGGGTGAATTGCGCCACCTTAAGGAAAAACGCTAATTGTAAGAAAACCGCTGGAGATATAAACATGCACTGGTAACCATTTCAAAGAGGAACTCATTGGCTACAGTTTAAGAGCCTCCCGATCAATTAAGAATATTTCGTTTGCTTTTGACAGCTGCTTTTTCAGAAACATGCAAAAGGGCGCATTTGCCAACAACTGCTGTAAATTGCGCCAGGAGGATGGCGCAATTAAAACCCAATTGCGCCCTATACTTTAACATGGCTAAGGGAATGAGACGGAATGCATACAACCCGGCAGTCTAATGTCATGGCACTTACTTTAACATTCATAATGTTATTCACGCTGGTTAAATAATAAATGTAGGTGTAAATCGCGATGTTTTTTGCCCAGGTAGATAACTTTACATATGTCCGTACGCTTGTAAAAGTGCAACGAAAACGTTAACTGTGACCGACTAGATATATGTGAACGTATGCGCCTATACGGTTACATTTTCAATCGTTTCTCTCAAAATTAATAATTTTTATCGTTTCGACAGCTTTAAGACATCAGTTTTTACTTTTTCATCATAGCTGTTACCTCTCACGCCTAAGTCCATGTTGAAAATGTCGTATTTTGTCAATTACACCACAAGGTCGTAGCCTAAATGGCAGCTGCATTGTAAGTTTGACGAGCAGAAATAATTTGCGGACTGACGACAGCGGGCTGCTCCCCTGCCTGACATTAACCCGCGCACCGACGGGGTGGGCGGATATCCGCCCCCCTGAGGTTTTTCGCGAATAGCGGGAAAACCGCGGCGCGTAGCGCCGCGAAATTTGGTATGACTATAACCTCATCAATTTTACACATGGTGTGCAAGTTTGAACCTCCTATCTTTTAAGGTCAGGTCACCAGGTCACTTTGAATGACCCAACCTCAAGTCACTTTTTTGCAACTTTGTCACCGTGCCAGAGCTACAGTAGATGTCGGAGGCCTTTGAAAGTCGCAGGATATTATTAGGTCATTAGTAGCTACAATTTGTATATCTCGGAATTTTGATATCGGTGACCTAAGGTCAGGTCAATTTCGCGACCTCCCCATTATAAGTCAATGGGGGAAAAATCAACTCCCTGTTTTTACCACTAAAACGGGTCGGAATGGCCCCATATACCATACATGACTTCATATACGATCAACCTTCACTACCTTGAGGTCTGTTTTGCTGTTGGGCAGCTGTGAGGTCATGTGACGTCATCAAAGGTCACCAAAGGTTTTTGGCCAATAACTCCGTACAGGAACAAGATACAGACGCGTGGATGGTCTCATTGTGTTCAGCTCGTCAAGACGCATCAAATGATATACATGATGACCTCGAGGTCACGTGACCTGAGGTCAACCTTTGACCTTGACCTTTTGAGGTCAAAATATATATCATTCGATGCGGATTGACGAGAGGATCACGATGATGCCCTTAGTTTGTTCCTATCTTGACTAATTCGAAAGTTATTCGAGAAAAACTCTCCATATCCAGCGCCGCCATTTTGACTTTTTCGACCCCTGTGACGTCATCTTTGACCTGACCTGAAAATGACCTTGGTAAAAATTGTAGATCTTGGCCGTGCGTATCCGATGCCGTTTACCGCTTGTCGCTATCTTGCTTCGTTCTCGAGATCTCAGGGGGGGCGGTCATCCGCCCCCCCCCCCCGTCGGTGCGAAGTTGGCGCAGACCCCCGTCGGTGCGCGGGTTAAACTCCTTCTTTATTGCAATCAATTAATGATGCATTCATACTGTCGTGATACAATAGCTACACCATTATTCTATTTGCGCCCCCCTGGCGCAATTGCCACGGGCGCCATTAAAATTGAGGTACTTTTTAATAAAAGCGTAGAACTTATCATAAAGATTTGAAGGAAGTTTACTGTTTCAGTGAAATATAATGACAAAAGGGTTTTTCTTTCTAAATATCACTCTAAAAATCACACAAATATCACAAATTTTTATAACCAACGGCTCAAAATACTGCAAAAAAGCTAAGAAAACGCCGTAACATCTTTGATGGCGTAATGAGCCTTGCTGATTGGCTTCATCGGAGAGCTTGGGCGATAAAAGGAACTATCCAGTGGGGAAAATAATGTTTTTGAACACAAAATTCAAAACATGCCATTGAACCCGTGGGAATTTTGGTGGGCGCCATTGGTTAGGAGGGCGCAATACACCCACTTTCCCCTAGGTAGAAGGTAGGTACTCCTGGCAGACAAAGAAGGAATATACCTACGGCTGACTGAAGAGCTTCCATCACGAATAACAAATAAAACCAAAATTATACCAGTTAAGCTGATATACATTTCTTTTTAGTTTTATCGCAAGCCTATGATAATGCATGTGTGATATGTATGTAAGCAGTCTGGGCACAGTTTTGCTGCTGCACATACCTACAACCACTACAACCTGTCACCTGTGTAGAGTACGCAACTCCGACAACATAAATTGCACGCGAGCCTCCGTACCTGTGAGAACCACGGTGTGCGCCACGCCGGCGTCAATCTGCTCAGCCGTGCCGCCGTTCCACTGAGTGACCTGGTCAAAGGTCATCTCCGTGTGACCCAGACCCAGCTGGCCGTCCTGGTTCAGACCGAACGCAAACAGCTTACCGTCCTCTGCGTGCGAGCGACCCGGAGTCAAAGGTCAGCGACCCGGAGCCAAAGGTCAGCGACCCGGGGTCAGAGGTCAGCAAACCGGGGTCAGAGGTCAGCAAACCGGGGTCAAAGTTCAGCGACCCGGGGTCAAAGGCCAGCGTGCCGCTAAACAACAAGGAGACGATGCGTTTAGGCACAACTCTACGCATGTAATTGCAGTGCATTAGCTGACGTGCTTTTTATTCCATGGTGCTCATACGCGTCACACTTTTTAACCATCGCACTGCACCGCTGCAGAGAGAATACATATATTTCGAGTCGCAGCATGTGTTGCCAGAAGGTTATTCAACGTCCATGTCGTAGGGGAGAGTGGTGCAGGAGGCCCCCCCCTTAAGCTCAGTTGCTATTCTTAGACAACTGATAATATTTAAGAGCTAACGTGTGCATGCGCTGTGAGCATGCATCATTTTCCCATACATATTTGCATTCAAAATGAATCTAAGGGGTACACAAACCGTAAACTTTAACATTTTGGAAAAAGTTGCAAAAGGGCCTCTTACACTACGGGTATGGTAAGACGCCCCCCCCCCCTCGGGCGTTTTACAAGTCAAGTCGGCTTGTAAAAGACGCTTTGCGAACACAGCTGCAAGGCCTTTTATTTCGAAAAGCTAAGCAAATACGGTGTTATCGAAACCAATAACACTTCCAAAGCGCTCGAACAATGCGAAAACTAGCACAACCAAACGCTGATGACCAACGAAAATTGTACCTATTACCTCTAAGAAAGGAAACAGAAAAAAGAAACAAAAACAAACTCCTTGAAAAAAGAATGCCACGCCTGCCGCAGGTGCAGGCGTTTTAGCATCCGGGGCGTTTTTTATCGGGGGGCGTTTTATCATCCTCGAAGGGAGGGCCTCTTAAAAAAAATGCAGTGTTTTAACGTCACAATATTTATGGTTTATGAGACATTTGCAGCGCACCAGAACATGGTCTATTCTGAAGCTAACATGTGACAATTTCGATGAGATAAGATTGCATTTGATAGCCATTGTTTTTTAGATATATAAGGGTGATAAAGATGCATATATCTAGCAAGTAAAGGGGCAAAAACAGAAACAGGCTTACCAAAAGTCGCTGCGACGCACCTGATACCTCAGATTTCGTGAGTTGTTGTTTCAAGAGGGCTTCTGCTTTACAAGAACATTAAAAAATAAATAACATTATTGGTTTGGTAAAAAAAGCGATGGGGCCTCTTACCGACCCTGGGCGTCTTACACGGATCTCCCCTACTGCTGCTCTTATACCCACTGCTGCCAAATTTGAGAGGGATAAATTATGCATAAATAGTGGTGGATATACAGGGTGATCGAAAAAGTGTCACCCCTAACTTAAAATCTACATAACTCGCGACTGGTAGGTCGGATGACTTCGCGCCAGGCAGCATCGGAAAGAGCAGGCAATTTCTTTTCAGTTGAATGTATTCATGATTGTTTTCTATTCCAAATCATGTCCCCATGGGCTCAAAAACCAGTCAATGTGCGGCTTTCACGTGAAACGAAATTCACCGAACGGGATCGGACACCGCTGAACGAGAACAATGAGTATCGTAACTCAACATGACACACACCTTACACATTACACATGGAGTGTATGTTGTTCACTGCAGACTGTTTATCAGCTGACCTTAGACTCGTCTTCACTCGAAGTCGAGTCGGTGCTCGAACCGACCGCCACCGCAGGCGATGCACGCCTTATTCACAAATTCGCCGGTAACTAGCGAAGCATTGCGACAACCTGCACTGCCGGATTATCAATTTTATGCAGCGGTAACCATGGAACAGTTAAGAAAAATGCTGAGTCACGTGAGCTGTCATGTGAGCTGTCAGATCAAAAACTCTGTCAAAAGTACAAATTTGCACAACCAAACTTTTGAACACGCCAAATTGCGTCCTTAACATATACTTTTTGAATAGCTACATCTTCGTTTGCGGCATAAACCATGCATATTTGCATCCATTCGAAAGGAAATTGTATGCTCTTTCCAATGCTGCCTGGCGCAAAGTCGTACAACCAACCTATCGCGAGTTATATGGCTTTTAAATTAGGGGTGACACTTTTTTCGATCACCCTGTATAAGTACTACGGCCTAAGGCCTCGGCCGGCTCACCTGTACCAATGACGGTGTGAGATTTCCCACAGCCCACCGCACTGCACAGCTCCGACTTCAGAGCTGAAAATGAATTATGAACCACACAAATATTAACAATGTCAAAATATGCCATTGCTTGCGTTTCATGGATGTACCAAATCGTCAATATTTCCGTCCTAGCGCTAACAAGCTGTTTTGTTGCATGGCTTATCAGACACTGATGTGCCAATTAACTCCTAGAAGGTAGGTAAACATCAGCCGACTGTCCATCTGGATCAGTGAAAAACGTTTCACGATAAAACGGTGAAATCAGATTTATTCCGTAGCGATCACATTTCGCCGATAATTCGATTCTGTTCCAGCCCCGGGGCCTCGATACAATCCTACCCCATGGGACCGTCATGAACTCACTGGGGCTCGCTGGGTATTAGCTGGGACGAGACTGACCTTTGACACAGCTGGGTCGTGTCACCGACTTGGTGTGTCCGAGACCGAGCTGCCCGAACTCGTTGGAGCCGAACGAGAACACGCGGTGAGACGCTGGAAACGGAGAGTGGCGTGCCGTCAGGGAGCCAGGAATCTCACACGGGACAGTCGAGGTATGTCGGGTACTGATGGAATGTTCCCATGATCTGCTTATATGTCGTCCGCTGTTGTGAAGCCTTGGAGGGCTTGCTTAACCCGCGCCCCACTGGGGTCTGCGTATAACACGCCCTACTGGGGGGGGGGCTATTCATAGCCCCCCCCCCTCCTAACTCCGAAACTACTGGGCCGATCGTCAAAATTCAAACGGCGTCTGATAGCCCCGGAAAAACTGTCGAGCGAAACCTAATTTTATTGACCTCGAGGTCACTGATGACGTCACAGGTCAGGTCAAAGTAAAAATTATTAGCATTTTGGCTTCTTCACGTTTTGGGCTCTGGCCGCCGTCTTACAAATCAGATCAGGCTCATTTTTGGTTCACACACTCGTGAACAGATGCTCTAGATACTCTGAGGGTACCAAACTTGTATTTTGATTTTCAGGTCAAGGTCAGGTCATCACATGTCACGAAAATATTATATCATCCGTCGGTCACGTGACACATGTTTTATGGTCCATTTAGGCCAAACATTTCGAATTTGATGTCGTCTGTGTCATGCGAGGTCATTTTGAGTCAAATTTAGCTTAGGTCAGGTCACTTTCAGGTCAAAAAAGGTCAAATTTTGAAGTTAAAATTTTCCAACAAAAAAGGTGTCTATTCGATGCAGTTTGAGCTCAGGAACACGATGGTGCTATTTATATTGGCGTATGATGTCAAATTCGTGCTGAAAAATTGATTTGAAAAATTAATAATTGTTAATTTTTTGCAATAATGCGTATAACTTGGCCATTTTTGAAGATATTTAGCTAAAACTTGCTAGAGGTAGTCATAATAATGCGTTCTATCACATATATTCCGGTTTTTTTCGAAAAGTCAAAAACTTTTTGAAAAAAATGTAAAAATATAAATTTTGAATTTTATTATTTAAAATTTTCGAAATTTTCAAAATTTCGAAAATCCGAGATAGCAGTTTGATAGCGCAGTCTATTCTGAGTCCTCTCATGCAAAGAAATTGGATCTAGCTTAAAAACTGAGCTCTTGGGAGCGATTGCCGTGGTTCAATGTTTTGCGTCGAAATCGGCCGAACATGACGTCACTCTGACGTCATTTTCGGCCGACCTATGGTAGGTACGAAGTTCAACTTTTGACACAAGGTGTCAAATTGATTCAGCCGAAGGTACTGAAAGTTTGGCGTCGATACGTCAAGCGGTTTGGAAGTTATTGCAGAAAAACGGGAGGGGGGCTATAAATAGCCCCCCCCCCCAGTGGGGCGCGGGTTAATTTTGATTGCAACTTGCAATGAATAAATAGTTAGGCTCACCAGTAGTTCGCTATCGGCACGACTAACTGCAGCAGATAAGCGACAGTCATTCTCTTCATTTTGTCCCCACAGTTCGGTACATCATGTCCACCCTCCCAGCGCGGCACGAGAAGCCCTCCCCGCTGCCCGTCAGTTTCTCAGGGCGACGTCCTTACCGGCGATAACGACAGTGTGCTCATCTCCGCAGGCGCAGGCAATGATCGGGTCGTTCTTGATCCAGAACCGCGACGCCTGGTTCTCGTTGAAGCGGCTGCGGCCGAAGGTGAGCACGGCGCCCGTCTCTGAGAGGGCAGGAGAGGTCACGACGGTCAGCAAAGAACTAGACGTTAGTAGAGAGGTCACCGAAGCTAACAGATTGAGATAGTGGATCTGGGTAAGCAGAGGCCAACGTTAGTCACCAGAGGACAAAGAGGGTCAGCACAGTCACAAATCCAGCGGACCAATGATGGAGATCAGACGACTCAGCATATCTTAGAAGAAGACTTAGTCAAAATAGGTAGACAAATGTTGGTGAAGGCAAAAATTGCAGCTCCCAAGAAATGGTCCAGAAGACGGAGAAGAATGTATTGAAGCGACGGGACAAACCTATCAAATGCCGTCGTTCTCAAAGGCACGATCTTCGAGGTTTCACATAAGGTCAGATAATTTAAAGAACAGGTGCGAACTTGCCGATAAGTGATTTATAAGCACTCGCCTTCCTTGGACCACATTGGAAAAGCTAGCTTGAAGGAAAAACAAGCTAAAGTACGAAAGTATGCGGTCCGTACGGTAAGCTCAGTTCGGTGGAACTGAAGATAATTGGACTCATTCCTCGCGGCTGTCAGATTGACCTGACAGGTTCTCGCCATCCTAACACCAGGGTCGGGAGGAGGACAAAGGTTCTGTCAGGGCTGTCGGACTGTCCTGGCAGGTGCTCGTGACCCTAAATGCAGGGTGAGGTCGGTGAGGTGAAGGATGTCGGGCTGTCGGACTGACCTGGCAGCTCCTCGTGGTCGGCCATGGCGCAGCGGCTGCGGTCCGCGGCCGCGTGCTGCTGCCGTCCAGGTCGACTGTAAGGCGCCGTATGCACGCCGTGACGCTCCATCGATCCTCGCTCGCTGCCGCCCGTCCCCGTCCCCAGTCTGTGCAGGTGTGCCGCCAGTGGCGGGGTCCAGGCGCGCCGGCCGCTGGTCGATCACAGCGGCGTATAATAACCACAGCCGAGGGACCGAGCGGCGCGAGGAGCGAGTATAGGGGCCATAAGCGACCTATCCGCTCTGCAGAAAACTGAATGGACTGAGAATAGGCTGGCAGCGCCTATTTGGCAATCAACTTTGGGTTAGAATTGAAAATGAGTTTTTCTGCATTACTGATGCTTGGCGATTGATGTGTAGCCAATGAAAATATATTTTATGAACGTAGGGGAACACCGCCCTTTGGGGAACACCGCCCACCCCGATATCAGAAATATAAAAAGGTCTAGGGCGACAGCTGACTGTCTTTTGGCAGCGTAACGTCAACAGAAGTGCAGGTATGGGTAGTGCACCGCATTGGTTTAGGTGATTTGCGAGAAATTCCTAATTTTACGTTCCTTTAATACGTTTTATACTTTTCTAGCAAAATAAGCAGAAGAAAACTTATCTTATTTGACAGATCTAGTCCTGAAGGCTGAAGTAGTATTTTTTGCCATAATTAGGACTGCCGACTGATCCAAGCATACGTGCTCCTGCTCGAGCGAAATTTTTGTCGTGCTGCCATATTGAAGGATTTTGTTAGAAAAATGGAGACACTTGGGTAACACCGCCCACTTGGGAAATTTGGTATTTAATCGCACATTGTGACACCAAACCCAAGAGTGGCGCATTTCAAATTAACCCGCGCCCCACTAGGGGGGGGGGCTATTTATAGCCCCCCTCCCGTTTTTCTGCAATAACTTCCAAACCGCTTGACTTATCGATGCCAAACTTTCAGTACCTTCGGCTGCATCAATTTGACACCTTGTGTCAAAATTTGAACTTCGTACCTACCATAGGTCGGCCGGAAATGACGTCAGAGTGACGTCATGTTCGGCCAATTTCGACGCAAAACATTGAACCACGGCAATCGCTCCCAAGAGCTCAGTTTTTAAGCTAGATCCAATTTCTTTGCATGAGAGGACTCAAAATAGACTGCGCTATCAAACTGCCATCTCGGATTTTCGAAATTCTGAAAATTTCGAAAATTGTATATAATTAAATTAAAAATTTATATTTTTACATTTAAAAAAATGTCTTTTCGAAAAAAACCGGAATATATGTGATAGAACGCATTATTATGACTAACTCTAGCAAGTTTTAGCTAAATATCTTCAAAAATGGCCAAGTTATACGCATTATTGCAAAAAAGTAACAATAATTTATTTTTCAAATCAATTTTTCAGCACGAATTTGACATCGTACACCAATATAAATAGCACCATCGTGTTTCTAAGCTCAAACTGCATCCAATAGACACCTTTTTTGTTGAAAAATTTTAACTTCAAAATTTGACCTTTTTTGACCTGAAAGTGACCTGACCTAAGCTAAATTTGACTCAAAATGACCTCGAATGACACAGACGACATCAAATTCGAAATGTTTGGCCTAAATGGACCATAAAACATGTGTCACGTGACCGACGGATGATATAATATTTTCGTGACCTGTGATGACCTGACCTTGACCTGAAAATCAAAGTACAAGTTTGGTACCCTCAGAGTATCTAGAGCATCTGTTCACGAGTGTGTGAACCAAAATGAGCCTGATCTGACTTGTAAGACGGCGGCCAGAGCCCAAAACGTGAAGAAGCAAAAATGCTAATAATTTTTACTTTGACCTGACCTGTGACGTCATCGGTGACCTCGAGGTCAATGAAATTAGGTTTCACTCGTCAGTTTTTCCGGGGCTATCAGACGCCGTTTGAATTTCGACGATCGGCCCAGTAGTTTCGGAGTTAGGAGGGGGGGGGGCTATGAATAGCCCCCCCCCAGTAGGGCGTGTTATACGCAGACCCCAGTGGGGCGCGGGTTAAGAAAGAACGTTGTTGCTATGTCTTCTTTTTCGCGGATGATGCAAAATTTCGAGAAAAAAAAATGAAATTTTGAGACTTTAAGTCGTCTAATAATATAAATGAGTGCTACATTGTACTACATTGTACAAGAGATATAATAAAATCGTTCCCATTTCATTTTATAGATATGCTAAAATGCCTCGAAATTTACGATAAGATGAACAACTTAATAGTCCAGTATCCTGCGAATTTCGTTGCCTGCTGAGCCCGGGCAGTGTTACCCAACGGTCGGTGTTACCCCGAAAAATGTAGACATTTACTAAATGTGGAATAATGCAATTATGGACGACACTACAAGAAAACAACTGGCTGATATGTAAGTAAAATTGATGCGACAATCCAGTGAAACTGAGAGATTGGTCATTTGGCCAAGAAATACGTGACTAGACCTTAAAAGGTTAAGGGGGTCGGTGTTCCCCCATCTTCCCCTAAATATAAAAAAGTAATACCTACGTTCTGGCTCGTAACATAAACGTGCGTCACCCTTCCGCTGCTCCGGAATGTTTATTTTTCACGGATAAACTTTTTAGAGCCCTTATGTACATACCTATACAATCGGTCGCCGGTATCTGATCCACTTGATATGATCGGTAGCTTTGTGGGGGGTGAATCATCCAATCCAATCACTCGACAGACGGCCGTATCAGTTGTGAGGCAGCTTGTAGAGGCCAAGGCATCAAGTGTAGTGCGGTAATCTCCCCCCCCCCTCCCAACTAACCTCAAACGCCTACTTAGAGATACATACTGTCAGCGCATATATGTAAGCCCTCGACGTAGCTTTTAGCCCACCAGGGAACAGTGGGCATTCTTCAGTATGAAATTGATAGGTACCGTAGGTATTAAGCGCACGAAGTGCAAGGAATGCAATCGCACCATGAATATCGCGACACGGATAAACATTCGCGCTATCGCGTCATCGCTCAAAATCGCAACGAACATGTAACTGCATTCGGAGAAACTGCGCGCTTGTCAGTGGCCGTCTAGCGGCTGCACTAAGCACACCCTGCTTCCGTTCCGTGCATTATCCCATATCACTCGCTGTGGACATCGTTAGAACTTCCATCAGACTGCACTGCCTATCCGTCCATGCGATGGGCTGGGTCCGAGTTTGCGGCGCTGTGCTGCTGACTGCCCTGATCGCCCGGTCAGAGGCAGTCTTTCAGTCTGACGTCGACTGTCGCCAGTCAAATTGTGAGTTCCATGTCAAGGAGGAGTGCAACAACTCTACCACTGTCACCTGCAATCTGCGGAATTGGCCAAACAAACAGGTAAGATCTAGTTGGTGCTCATGAAGACCTCAAGACTGCCCATTGTCCAAGAGGGAGGCCAGGGCTTAGTAGATTATTCCTTCCCGACTGTTGCGAATGTTGCGAACACGCCGGCGTCTTAGTCAAGAGTATATTGCCGAACATGGTGGGTGAGAGGTGGCACCACTCGGGAGCCACCTAGCGGCGACCTTACGAACGTGTGCCGAGGTCAACGGCAGGGCTGCCAGCTGGGCTGTCATTTTAAAGGGACCCTCCCACCTTAACATTAGATTTGAGTTGAGATAGCCAAAATGGGGTCCCTGGCTAAAAATTACCGGTTTCGGCACTCACAACATCGAGAAATGCCTTAAATCGGAAATATTGAATTTCAAAATTGCAGCATTTTGATTCAGAGGGGCTAATGCATAGGAATACCCCTCTGAATGTGTGACGTCATCGCAGATATCTAACGATTTTTAAATGTTTGACTAAAACGTTTTGTAGCACGCGGTGGTATATGCTGCTTTGCGCGCAACAAATGCCGCACTTTCAAATAAAGTCGCTAGGAACAGCGGAGATCCCAAAAAGTAAACAAAAGTAAAAGTCTAATATCTTGAAAACCAGTGAATATTTTTCGATGAAATTTGGTAGATATTCGTTTTTGCTCTTCCTGAACCGAGCGACATCACTTTCATGCCAATTCATTAACTTTTTTGAAGGTGGGAGGGTCCCTTTAACCCTCGCCGGCCGAGGGGGGGGGGCGTGTGCCGCCCCCCATAGGTTTTTTTTCCGCGCGGGTAGCTCCGAACACGCTAGGGATATAGAGAGCTGAAACTTGGCATACCTGACCTTTGATTCAAGCTGGATCTTTTGAAACCAACCGCAGATATTCGGAGATATTGGCAAAAAACCTAAGGGGGGGGCGTAATAACGCCCCCCTCCCCCAGCATGGCGCGGGCTAATGGGAGAAAATTGAAATGCTCTTCTTTTGAACGAAAACACCCTCAAACATCTGGGTACAGGTAAATATGACACATGTAATCGGAAAATTTCACTCGTGACGTGACCCCTTTATGTTACTGAGGCCATGAAAGGTCTTCAGTAGTTTTTGGACAATAACTTTTGATAGGGATATGGTAGAGCAATGAAACACCTTATATAAGTATTTTCCTTCTGAACAATACGGATCGACTAATATGCAATATGACCATTCCCGGTTAGGTGATGACCTTCACCTTTGGTCAAATTCTCAAAATGCTCTTTAATGTCAAATTCTAGTTCATTTGACTAGTCTCGAAAAAATGGAACACGATGCCGGTTAAACTAATCTCGTGCAGGTCTGAACCAAAAGGTATTACAGGTAAACGTCCACCGCGCGAATACGTATATTTTACGGCTAAAACGTTTACCTACCTTAGGTCCAATCTGAGATAATTAATGAGAAAGAGCATAAAACGAGGTATCGATTGCGCTTTGCTGCGGCGCTGTAGCTCAATCTCTTTCTGAATCCTGACTTATGCGCCGCTTTGTCGAAAAATGCCAAAATCGGCGAAATTTGATTTTCGGTTGTCTCTGGTGACATGACCTTCGACCAGTTCGACCTAACCTTGCTGTAATTTGTAAAGTACTAAATTGTAACCTGTCAGCAATGGTTTAAGTAGTTTTGCAAAAGTTTTTGACGCTCTTTCGAACGCCGCCTATTGCGGGTCTCAACGTGGCCCACAAGCTGAGTTAGAAGTGGGTGTTCAAACACCCCCAGCAGGTTCAATTT